TTATGGAACCAAAGCAAAACAAAGCACAATGCATTTTCTTCTCCATGAAGTTACTGGAAGTTGATCTCAGAACCTTATGCTCTCATTTGTAAGCTGAAAGGATTCCAAATGCAGCTCTTCTACATGAACTAGAATGATGTTATCTAAAACATATTCCTGTGATAGAAAAGAGAAACAATTGAAATTAATTTACTTGTATATCCATTCAATTCCTTCTTCAAAATACCATTTGAGTTACTCAAGCAGTCTAACCTATAACCCTCTCCTGAGAATTTTGATGAAATAGTTTTCTCATGTATTCATTCATTGTTTACCTACTTACCTATTCCATAAACAATTGCATGTATATTCACGGTTAAAAGGACAAAACACTTATAGACAAAAACACTCCATATACTCTAGGAGAGACTATTCTATAACAATGTAATATATCTACCATAGAAATCATTCATTTCGGGAATGACCAAAGAGTAAGGAACCTTCTCTCTGCAATAGGCTATTTAGATATTAAATCATCATTCATGGCCCATACAAAATTATCAGTGCAGACACATTGAAGAGGGAAGCTGACTAGAAATACACTTGTCTGTAGATCAAGTACGGTCCTCAAGTCAAATGTTCTCCAACTTTCTAGGAGAAGAAAAAAAAAACAGTGTAAGAGATAAGCCTTGTGGGTAATCTTGAATGGTAGCAAAAATTCAGTAATTACTAAGGGACATTATTAAATTATTTGTAGTTAGGTATAACTACTAGTATCTTTTACATGTCAATGGAGGCTACAAATATATAACAACGTGGACATACTCTATTAACATTTTAGGTTTGCTTTTAATTTTAAGGAAATATACTACAAAATACAAAATGGAAATGAAATGAGCATGAGGATGTATTTCAGTGGTGGATTGTGCTCATCTACCAAGTGGTCCTGGGTTCTTTCTCAGCATTACAAAACAGGATGAAGGAAGCCAGAGAAATATAATATGTTCAATTCACCTCTGTAAAAGGCATAAAATAATGAATATAATAAAACAATTGCTAAATATAAAAAGATATAAAACGCATGACATGAGATTCTTAACAGCTATGAAAGATACATTTAAAATTTGGTGCTCATTTTTGCACAGCAAATTATTTTTAAAAAAGCAATTTGCAAAATACCTATGTTCATTATATATTAAGCACTTAGTTGCTTGTAGAGGTGTGGCGAATGAAATGTAATCAATGGAAAAATATTCTCTGCCAATCATGACCTATCATTTTTTAAGTGATAGCTTTCCAATGTTTCCTAGCTCCTAACAGCAAAGGTTGGTGATATGTTATTCTGGGCCCTAGATAGATAACTAATATTGTATCAGAAATACAACATACATGAAAAGACACATTGGTTAAATATTGTAATATAACCACCAAAACAAATGTAGAATTTGTTTCTTATGCTTAGATTTTACCACCTGCTGCTGATCCAGGCCTAGGATATATTTTTCCAATTGTAAGAGAATAAGAAAATAGCAGAATTATTATTTTCTTGAAGCAGAAAAAAATCTGTGCATGAAGGTGTGTGTGCATGTGTGTGAATGCACGCGCATGCACACACAGACAGACAGACAGGAATGTGCCCGGTAGGGAGGGAAGATAATGGATGCCATATTAATAGACTTGGTTTAATCAGACACTCATTAACACTGACTCAATAGATTAACATTTCCTTTTACTACAAAAGACATTGAATGCTATTTATTCAAAGGGCAGGACAACATTTGTTTGCACTTTCCATTGGTAGGATGATACATATATTATTGTCTTTCTATTTTTTTTAATATTTTTATTGTAAAGATACTGTGCAGAGGGGTTACAGTTACATGAGTAAGGTAATGAGTACATGTCCTATCGAGCACTCTTACCTCCTCCTTTGATTTTCCCCCACCATCACTTCCCCCTGCACCTCTCCCACTCCTCCCTCCCACCTCCAAGTTGTAAAGTTCGTTTTCAGCATAGAGTCCTGTATATCTCATCATTACAATGGGTCAACCTGCATCCCCATTTCAGCATTCTGCTATACCTCTTCCCCTTCCCAAATTACAAACAAGTATACACAAGATGAAGAACACCTGAATCAAATACAGTGAAAACAGGGGTTATACTGTGGGGGAAGATCTGAACTTGTAGGTCAATCTGAGCTGAACATTAGTTACTTAATAACTGAATGACTATATTATATGCAAGAATATCTACTAGCAAGGACTTGTAATTATTTATACTACATACAATTTGGGAAAGAATGAATATTGTAGAAGGAATCACTAATAGTTGATAAATTACAAGTACTATACAAGAAAATTAATCAACTTAAAGGACTTTAGTAAGGAAAATCATAATAAGCAAAGTTATTGAACTTAATTTGTACAGCTTCTCAGGTGGGTTGTATATCATAAATACAATTCTGAACATATTAAATAGTGGTACAATGCATTGGCTATATTCAGCCTAATATTTTGATTCAGATCTCAAATGTAGGTCAACCTTGAGATAAATATTCAAAACAAACCTATAAACATTTCTGTGGTTGTTGTGATTAGTTACATGAATATATATGACTTCATCCATATTTTGCTATGAATGTGGATCATATTTGAAAGAGAAAAAAAGTGGAAAGAAATTGAATGATTCATGATTATGCAAAATATTCTTCCACGAATAGACAGTTGACTCTGCATGATGCTGTTGAAATAGATAACCACCAAATACCATGGTTAGAATGCTCATGGATGTGTGCCTCATACTATGGGAACCCGTGTATGTTTTATCATACAATATTTATGTTCCTTTTATAGCATGTTAAATTCCTTAATTTCAGGTTACTTAAGGATAAAATGCAATTAAATAACTTGATCAGGATCAGGTAGTTAGGAAAGGGTAAATACCAGGCTCCCGATTTTCATTTTATTGCAAACGATTCTCCTTTTCACTTTCGAGATGCTACTCTTAAGCTCATGATCAGGGAAAGAGAGACAACTCCTTAAGAATATAATCTTTCTGCACTCAAAATGTGACCTTTGCGCAATTTTGTTGAATAGATAAAGCTTAAAATGTCAGTCTTTTGTCTTAGAGACATGTGTAATACTTTCTTTTTTAGACTTTCCTTTCTATCAAAACAAGGGAGGTACATGCTTCCTCTCTGAATAAAGAATGAATGAATTCATTAGCCACACACAGCAAAAGAAGCAATGCAACATATGAGACATTGAGACCATCATATCATTTGGCATTTGGGAAGAGAATTTATGTTCCATTACTAATATGATAGGAATTCCATCAAATGGAATTCACTTATCTACAGTCAGGGTAGTCACGGTACTTAACTGACAAATTCAAATCTTGAGGTACAGCCAATGGAGTTAACCAAGTGTAAATCTGAGCATGGCTAGGATTAGTGTGTGTGCTGCAGACATTACTTTTATATTTACCAAAATTTGAAAGTTTTAGCGATCAGGACTTAATCAATTGTCAAAAAGAGAAATTTAATATATCAGATTCAAGTCTGTTTGTTCATATTCAAATCCAAACATATTTCCCTCTTGGCTTGCTTATAAATATTCAGTGCCACAGAAACACAAATAAATAATTGGCCATCTCCAATGCATTCTGTATAATTTACAACAGATCAAAAGATTATTACATGCTAAAGTCAGAGTCAAATTCTATTGCATTGATGAGAAGTGAAAAATAATAACACGGCCCAAGCCAGCAATGAATTAATGGACTTACTGAATCTGTGTGTGTGTGTGTGTGTGTGTGTGTGTGTGTCCATCTGTTTATGTGTGTAACTATTTTAAACTTAAGAATTTTTAGAATTAAGAACTACATATTGAATTCTGTTCTCTGAAAATAGGCTTGAAAAGATTAGAAGATTGTTTTTGTTTACCTCAAAAATCTTTATGAAAATTATATTAAGATAGCTTAAATAATTAAATATAAATAACTTAAGTAATTAAAACAATCTTACTACCTATGTCCTTTGCTAGTATATGTCTGAGACAAGCAGAAATGGTCAGATAAGTTAATGTTAGGCAAAATCGACCCCAAGATAAGGACTCAAATGTTTTTTCTTTCTTGCGATTGTTTCTAACATATTTATAAGATGATTTCTTTGTTTCTATGTATGTCCCTCCCCCACGGTATAACCCCTGTTTTCACTGTATTTGATGTTGGTATAATTTGTGGAGGGGAAGTTAAAAAACAAATCACTTAAATAAGAATACAGGTGGACTCATTGCAACAATGAGATGTACAAGACATTATGTCAAAAAGCCAATTTACAACTTTGGAGCGGGGTTGGGGTGGGGGTGGAGATGTGAAGGGGAAACAAAGGAGGAGGCAACAAAATGCTTGATAAGAAATGCACTCATTACCTTGCTCATATAATTGTAACCCCTATGTAAGGAATTTTCACAATTTAAAAAAATAATCTTAATCTCATAGAAACATATCCCATGGTTAATTTTTATTGAACAACAAAATTTATTTTACCCATCTGTAGCTATGTTCTTTTTATGATTACTAGCTGATTCTTCCCTTCTATTGAGTTTTTGATCCTTGTAGATAGATAGACAGATATGTAGATAGATATTATTACCTTGAAAAAGTAATAATATCTCAAAATAAGTTGTGCTCTACACAAAATATACAGAAATAAATCATTTAGCATACAATTTATATTTCTTTTAAATATTATATTTATATCCATGGAATAAAGCTTGTTTCCTCTGTTTGTTCAGATGTGTTCTTTTATAATCTAAGTTCTAAAAATGTTATTTGGAATAAAAACTCATATAACTTTTTAAGTAGCCAAGTATTTACTATTTTTTTTTTTCCATATGGACGGGTCAGATGCCATAATCACCATGTTAGTGTAGCAGAACTTGACCCAGTGAGGGAAAAGTTGAGTTGCTCGTTACAATGGAATACCCTCAATGCTGATGTTATTTTTTTCCTTCCCATAGGGAACCACAGTCAGATATCACGCGTGCCTGTTGCTATTAAAGTGCTGGATGTCAATGACAACGCCCCTGAATTCGCATCCGAATATGAGGCATTTTTATGTGAAAATGGAAAACCCGGCCAAGTAAATATCTCCATGTTGTTAATGCTGAATATGTTTGTATACAACTGTCTCATATTTCTTTAACCTGCCTTACCCCGTGCATTTGCATCGTTTGTGATCTGCGGTATCCCAGGAGAGAAACACACCCAAATGGGAGCAGAAAGGGACTACTTTTCTGCAGATGTTAATTCTCTTCCTACTTATGACTGAATTGGCTCCTAAAACCAGAACAACCTGCTCTACCATGAACTCAGAGCCAAAAACACTGTCTTAAAGTATAAAAGGTTTTAGACAATAACTGGGATTTTCTTAGGGTGCTGGGCCATTAACTGTAACTTCCCGGTAACAGACAGTAAGTAAGCTCAAAAGGGAATTGATTTTCCTTTTACATTATAAACATACAAATAACATACAATAGTGTATTCTAAGAAGACTAGTAGGTTATAGGCAATTGTAGGAAGTGAGTGATGGGATTTGGACAAATGTAGATGTATTTATATGTTTAGATAAACATGAGATGGACAGCTAGTTTAGACATGCATGTAAAGTACCTAAGATTGTGCAGTGGTGTGTCTTTTTTTCCCATTCTACCACATATGGTATAGATAGGAATAGTGAAGAGAGCAAAAAGAAAGGCAGAAGGCAAGACAGATGGAAGTCAAAAATAAGGAGAAAAATAGGAAAGGTAAAAGGAAAGAAGAGACGAAAGGGAAGAAGCAAGAGAAGGAAGAAGAGAAGAAAGGGGAGGGGAAAATAAGTAGGCAGGGCTGGAGAGAGGAAGGGAGGGAGGAAAGAAGGGAGAGAGGGAAGGATCAGAGGGAAGAAAAAAGGGGGACGGATGAAAGGGGAAAATAAGAGAAAAGGGAAATAAGGGTGGAGAAAGGATGGAAGGAGAGAGAGGAAGTTAGGAAGGGAGGGAAATAAAGAATAGGGAGAAAGGGAGGGAGGTAAATAAGAAGGGAGCAAGGGTTAAACAAGTAAGAAGAAAAATAAAATATAAGAACCTGCTATCTTCTGAATGTCAAAATGGAAATAGCCTATGTAAAGTTCTACAAACCACAAATGTAATAGATTTATTTTAACAAGGTGCCAAAGTACTGTATGTTTAAGAAATTTATCATTTTTCAACTTCCTAATTTATTTCTGGATGGTGACATTTTAATTTAAATAAACAGCAGCTGACAGCATGACACTGGAGTTGTTAATCCAACTATTCTTGTGCCTCATGTGGGTGTTAGGAATTAAACTTACTATTTGCCAAGCAGCTTACCTGACAAGAGTCAGACTTTTTTTTTTTTACCCCTAATGAAAAGAATAGCACTGTAGCTTTTATTTAATTATTACAAAAGGTGAATGTGTTACCTGGCCATAAAACAGTGGGCAATTTCTCCTATACTATTCACACATATCTGAAGGATTAGTATTGTTTCCATCTACCAAAATCTGACCTCTCTGCACACAAGAAAGCTACAATTCTAATAATAAAACCAATTATTTTTAAGAACCTAGACATTGTTTACTCATCAAAATATCCAGCTTTAGCAGTGGTACACTTTTGTTTTTATAATATTCCCCACTTTAGCGTTAGATGTTTCTTAATTTTATCATGTGAAATTTTCCCCTATGGTTTATATATTTTGAGAATATGTGTGGTCCTTTGAGGATGATGATGTTGACAATGACAATGACTCTGAGTTTGTGTGTGTATGTGTGTGTGTATGTGTGTGTGTGTGAGTGTGTGTGTGTGTGTGAACACACATACCAGTAAATATCTTTTACCTAAGTTGTGGATTGATTTGGCAGGGAATTTGATCAAAATATGATAGGTCAGGTTCAAGGATATGCTGTTGTGTGGACTGGAAAATTGCCGGGATAATGTAGTCAGACAGAGTTATATGCTAGACATTTTCCTATCACAGTATCTGGAAAAAAAATAAAAACAATCTTTAAGGATTTAAATAAAATCTCATTGCTAGTGCAGAAATCATCACGCAAGTTCTGACTGAGGTTGATGGCACTGATGTTTCAAACACTTGACATTTTGGCTTCCCATGAGATATTGACAGGAATGTTTTTGGGGTCTATGTAAGTCTGGAGGCTTAATCTCAGAATTTCGACTCTTTCCAAGGTTTGAATGATTTTTTTTTCAGCCATTCTTCAAAAAATGCATTGTTTCTTTATCTTTCCTATCTAATATCAAAATAAAGAAGTTGACTTATGACTTTTTTTACAAATCACAAAATTGACTTGTTTTATAAAGAAGTGTGTGTGTGTGTGTGTGTGTGTGTGTGTGTGTGTGTCTACACATCTCTAATGGATGTGGATGTGTTTGGGCATGGTCAGGTAGAGGTTATTTGGTTACATGGTCAATTTTTGACTATTTAGCATGGCTTTTGGACATACAGCTAACTGCTTGAAGCATACCTATGCCACTGCTCATTCTTTTCTGAATTATTTGAACTATTGTCAGCCAGAATTCATGTTTATTCCTTATGTCATTCCTAGGCCAGCCTTAATACTCAACACCTAATATTTATACTGAATTTTTTTTGACCAAATTCATTTATTCCATCCACAACTTTGGTACTCATTTACAAAGGTTTGACATATATACACCTGTCATCGTCTCTTGTAATCTGCACCAATGGCTGACTCACTGCACAAGTGGACTATCCATGCTCAGATTATCACCCTGTCATGAACACTCAAGATCCACAACTGCTAATTAGGACTAAATTGATACTCATCTCAATATTTTCCACAATGAATGTCTGCTTTGTAATAGTTTCAGAGAAGGACAGATGCATTGGAGTGTGTGTGTGACGCAGAAGGTATGGATTTCAGGCTAACTCAGATGGAGTTTCCTGGGAGATGCTGTTGCTGGAGTCCTTTAGTAATAATCAAGAGCAAGCCATTAACACACCTTGTCAATATAAACTGCTTGAATTGTGAGGGCCTAGGTAAAGAGGTGTTTAAAACATCTTATAGAATGAGAAACCATGTCATTGCCAGGTGTTGGTGGTTCATGACTATAATTTTAGCTATTCAGGAAGCTAAAATCTCAGAATCTTGGTTTGAACCTAGCCTGGGGAGACATCTCCAGGAGACTCTTTTCTCCAATCAACTAGCAAAACCTGGAGATATGGCCCAATAGCAACAATTCAGCCTTGAGCAAGAAAACCAAGCAAGCTTTTGAGGCTCTGAGCTCAAAACTTAGTACTAGAACAAAAGGAGAGAGACAGAAAGAGAGAGAGAGAGAGAGGAGGGAAGGCAGGAAGGAAGGCAGGCAGGAAGGCAGGAAGGAAAGAAAGGAAAGAAGGAAGGAAGGAGAAAAAGAAAGAAAAAAGAAAGATATAATCTATAAATATAGAGTATCTATTGAAATTAATCTTTTCTACGTAATTTGACACCTATAAACAAAATCAGAATTTAAAAGAAGGGTGAGGCCCTTCATATTTTATGGGCAATTATTACTTGTTCAGGATCTATCTGTTCTAGAAGAGATACAGGCACACTTTGAAAACAGGATTGGAAAGTGTACCTCTCTCATTCTACCACATTCTTATAATTCTGAAGTAGAAGATTATCTAGATATCTTTTTCCTGTCATAGGAAATTTGAGGCTATAATCTACTACACAAAGTCAATTTAAAACCCTTTTGATTGGACTCTTTAAAAATAGTTATTCTGTTACATAAGCGTCAAAAGAATTATTTATGAATCTTAGTTTTTTTTTCTATTTAAAAACAAAATTGAATATTTACAGGTAAGTTGCCTCAAGCCAAAAGACAGAGGTGATGTAAGTCTTTAGACATTAATTCAACCAAGGCCTGATGTGATTTTTATATATTATTTGACTCTAAGTTAAGATGATGGATTGAAAACATACTCTTTCCTTATAGGAATGTGTATTAGTATTTACAAAATTAGGAAGCAAAATATGTGTCTTACAGTTCACATTCCTGATAGAATAGTAGCTCTTCATCAGTACATTTCACTGGGCATTAACTAAGAGTCAGGACTTGTCCAGACACTAGAAAATTAGTTGCTTGCAACACTTAGAAATTTGTCTTCTTGTCATCATAGAATTTTCTCTCTGGCAAATTGGAATGTAACTTGAAAATGGTAGATTTGCAAGAAAATGCTTCAATATACTCAGGACAGAAAAGTTGATGCAGAGACAAGGTAGGGGGATAGAAAAGACCTCCTAATGTAGGACAAGTCCTGCAAGGATAGCAAACACTTAGTACTGAAAAGAGTCAACTTAGGATAAACAAGATACTGTCTAAAGAAAATGTTAGTCTAGCTAGATGGGTAGAGGACTGGGTAAAAATGATGGAGAGCTCAGAAATTCTTGTATTACACATGACAGCACCCCATTCAGAACCAAGTATGACAGTAATGTACGACTTCTGTGATCAGTTTTGTCTAGAAGATCGTTCAGAACTCCATACTACATTTTATATCCTTAATAGAATTTAGCTAGAATTTTATGCATCACAAATAGCCTTGTGACTTAGAGTGGACTTCGAGTCACTTGTTTTAGATGGTTCATCATTGCAAGTACTGAGCTGAGTATTACCTTTCTAGGTTCAAGTCAAGGTCTCTTCTTGAGTATCTGACAATGCTCCTTATTTGAAAGTCCATTAAATAACCACCTGCATGAGCTACTTTTGTCCTGAGGGAAGAGCTCTTACAAATTAATAGGAGGGGGGCTGGGAAGGTGGCTTGCATGCCTGAGGCCCTGGGTTCAATTCCTCAGCAACAAATAAGCAAAAAGCAAAAAGCCAGAAGTGGCACTATGGCTCAAGTGGTAGAGTGCTCCTTGAGCTGAAGAGCTGAGGAACAGTGCCCCACAACCAGACCCACCCAAAAAATTAATAGGAGGAAACTACAAATAAATCTAGTAGAGCCGGGCACTGATGGCTCAAACCTATAATCCTTGCAACTCAGGAGGCTAAGATCTGAGGATCTTGGTTCAAAGCCAGGCCAGGCAGCAAAGTCCGTGAGACTCTTCCTCCC